AGCCAGTTCTTAACCATCGCGCCACTCGGCCGGCCCGCATATATATTTTTGAGGTCCTGTTTTCAATTCTTTTGACTACATACCCAGAAGTAGGATTGCTAGATCATATGGTAGTTCTATTTTTATTTTTTTTGAGGAACCTCCACACTTTTCTACAGCGGCTGCACCATTTTACATCCCCACCAACAGTGCACATGGGTTGCAATCTTCACATCCTTGCCACACTTCATATTGTTTTTTGGCTAATGGCCATCCTAATGGTTGTGAGATGATCTTATTGTGGCTTTGATTTGTATTTCCCTGCTGTTGAACATATTTCCATATGCTTGTTGGCCATTTGTGTATCTTCTTTGGGGAAATGTGTATTCAAATCCTTTGCCCATTTTTTAATTGGGTTGTCTGTTTGAGTAGTAGGAGTTCATTATATGTTCTGGATGTTAACTCCTTATCGCTTATATGTCTTGCAAATATTTTTTCCCACATTATTGGTTGCCTTTTCACTTTGTTGATTGATTCCTTTGCTGTGCATAAGTTCAGTTCGATGTAGTCTCATTTATCTATCTTAGCTTTTGTTGTTATATCCAAGAAGTCATTGCCAAGTCCAATGTTGTGAACTGCCCCCCACGTTTTCTTCTAGTTCTATAGTTTTGGGTCTTATGTTTAGGTCTTTAATCCATCTTGAGTGAATTTTTATATATGATGTAAGGTAAGGGTGCAACTTCATTTTTTTGCATGTGGATATCCAGTTTTCGCAACACCATTTTTGAAGACTATCCTTTTCCCAAGTTGTAGCGTTTTTATAAAAACCCATAAGCTGTGGAAGTGGCCTGGGCCTCCCTATACTGTGAGATCCTTGGTACTAGCTGTATATTTTTACATCCTGAAAATTTTCTGGAGTAGGAGCTATTAGTCTGTTTTTACAGACAGGGAAACTGAGGCTGGGTCCAAATGCCTGCCCAAGGTCGTTATAATGAGCAGAAAGGTGGAGATGGGATTGGCACTGAGAACTTGAACTCAAGAGCCCACACACTTAAACCTCCTGGGAGATGTTCCGTATTTTATCCCCAGCATGCAAGAAAGAAAGAATGAATGACTGTCTCAGGCAAGGCTCCCAGCAACCGGTGGAGCTTGGACAAGCCCACTGCTCTGCATGGGGGTGTACGCCCTCTTTGCGCATGCGTACCTCCTGCGTATGGCCGGCTCTACTCCATTTGGTAAGGGCTCTCTCAGCATGGTACGTCCCGCCTTCCCCCATAACCGGGCCAGAATGGTACGTGCCACCCCTGCTCGCTGCCCCTCCCCATCGGTTTCCGCGCGAAAAGCCAGAGCTGCCTGTGCTGCCGACGCCTCTGCTGCAGCTTCGGAGATGCCTGCCCGTACCGCTCCGGCCCGGGTGCCCACGCTGGCCTCCCGGGCCATCTCACTGCCCGACGATGTCCGCAGGCGGTAGGTGCCACAGGGGACGGTGCACTCGGTGGAGTGGCATGGTGTTGAGGGTGGGGGGTTGCTTCCCCTCTGGGTAGTCCTTGGCTGCCGCTGACAGACGGGCGCGCATGCGTGCAATGGCGCGATGGCAGTTGGCGCGGGCGGGATGGGACTTCCGGTCGCGCGCCCGGGGCCGTTTGGCGCCAAAATGGGCCAAAGCCCCTCACAGCTCCCTCATGATTAGAAACTTGGGGCCTTCTCTTACCTCAAAGTAGAGCAAGCTCCTAGTTTGTTTCAGGGATCCCTTTCCCAGAATAGCTGCGGGCCCGGCTCTTGCCACCAGCCTGGTCGCACAGGAAGTGGGCAGCCGCTGCCTTAGGACACCCCTCGGCCTGGCACTTCGGCCTCCACTTCCGGTGCCCGGCCCGCCGAGGGGGAGGTTGGGGCTGGCCTGGTTCCCAGGGGTGTTTCAGGAGACCCCTTTGGCATCTCCGTGCCAACATCCCGATGGCGGCCACCAGAAACGAATGCCGCCAGTCAGGGCCCAGGCGCTGCCGTTTCAGGTTTGCGAGCCCCCGTCATCCTTGGGGGGCTCCTTCCATCATCTCTGCTGCGGAAGTCGCATTCTGCAAGGAACTTACCATGCAGCGAGGCCCAGAGCTTAGGCAGTGTGAAGGCTGAGTGGGCTTTGCTGGTAAATCTGCGCCTGTGAGGCCCGGGCATCGAGGAAGCCTTGTTAAGAAGAACTGGCTGCAGTTTACAGCATGTGTGTCTAGTGGGGAGTGAAGTGTGGTGGCTAATGTTGGGGACCTGCTATAGCAATTCTGTGCACATAGGTGGGTGGTAAGACCACTGGGCCCTTGCTTCTTGTCTGTGAAGGGCAACCAATTTTACTCCTGAAAACTTGCACACCTCACTTGGAACATGAGTCACAGGACCCTTGACCTGGCCTGAACACTTGCATTCAGAAGTGACCCTGACTTTGCCAGTTTCCTATGCTTGTTTCCTATGGTTGTGCCAGGCCAGTTCTGATTTGGGCCTTTGCAGGTGGAGAGTGTGTATGTTGGGGGGTATTTGGGTCTCTTTACCAGTTGTTTAAGGTTCCAGCCACTTTTTAAGCACAGTTAGAAGGGGTGTGTTTTTGAAGAATCTATCTCTAGCCCCCCAAGAGAGAACTTGACTTAAAATGGAATTATGAAGGTCTCTGGTTTCACCGTGTTAGACCCAATACAGAGACGTTGGGGCCCAGCCTTCTTTACTCTGATGGTGAGAACTCGACCTCCACTGGCTTGTTTATGATTTGGGGCAAGTCTCATAAGCAAGCTGTAGACTAGGTTTATTAACATGCACTGTAAAGTGGTATTGCAGTAAATGAGACTATGCCTGCCACATAAAGGCCCAAATATTAGCATTGTATTGGTTAATCTACCTTGCTTTTTTCAGTTCTGCTAATCCTCCACTAATTGTATAAAATACTTTTAATTTAACCCTCAAGAATTCTTAAGAGGGGTGCCGCAGGAGTTCACTGCGAAGAAGCAAGGATTCCTGCTGAGGTCCGCTGCTTGCCAGAACCTTTCCCTTCAGCTAGGGGTCTCAGACAGGTCACTGCCCCTGGGGTTTTATTGGGCCAGAGCAAGTGATTTGTTTGGCTGAATTTGAATGTTAGGTGAGTGTTAATTCACCAGTTATTCTAGGTTCCATATTTCTTTGAATTAAGAATTGCCTACTGTAGGTATAGAGTTTTGGATTTCTGCTTTAAACCAAGTGATAGCCGTTGAAATTGTCAGTTTATGACTCTTCCAACAGCTTCTCTTACATTTTTAATTTCAGTGTACAAAATACACACATCAGCATGGCATTCAACACTCCCTTAAATTTAGATTTGCAAACGATGGTATATCTCTTCTTGATTTATGAAAATCGGAGACATGTAATCTATAATATAGCAGGTACTTAAGTCCATTAGAATACTCTAGGAACAAAATTGAGGCCTGGTTTTTATGCATTTCTGTCACACTTCTGCTAACTTGTGTTTATGTGACAACTTCTTTTAAAATCCACATATAGTTCCACTAGCTATATATAATGATACTAGAAAGTATTTTCAATATGTGGGTTTTTAAGTCTTTAACTTCTTTTATGAAGTAGTATTACTTACCCTAAGCCTTTTCAAAAGCATACCTTTCAGGACAAGCCACATTTTCCACTTGATTTTTCTTATTCTGCCTAAGCCGCCATCATTTGTACAGAAAGAGCGGTAGTGTCCCACTTTTCTTCCTGTTACCACTCAGGTCTGTTTTCTATAAGTGGAAACTGTGATCCTCTTACAACTTAAGTTGGATCCAGTGGTTTTCATGCCCCCCAACACTGCCTGGTACACTTGGCCTGAAGTCCAGAATCCCTATCCACCTGACTGAGTCATCCTATGCTCTTCTCACAATCCATGCAGGACTCCTTTTAGGTTCTCTGGACCCGAGACCCTGTAGAGTGACCAATGTAAGGCTGGGTTTCACCTACCCCTCCCCAAGGGGGTTTCTGTCCCCTCCTCCTTAAGCTTTCACTCAGAATGTCCCCTTTCCCCTGAGAGAAGGGTGTTGAATTCTGTTAGTGTACCCTGCATGCTGCCTGCAATCCTGGAGTTGATGATTTGTTGTCCAAGCATGTTTCTCTTATTCATTTGTATCTGCAGCTTGGTATATAGCTTGGTATATAGACTCTCAAATGTTTGCATGCCAGACTTCCCCCTTTAATGAAGCCTGGATTTACACACTGATTCTAGCAACCTCCTTTGCACAACTCTGATTCGTCTTTGTAATTATGACATCTTTCTTATCTGCTAGTCATTCTGTGATTATCTTAAGCTGGGTCTTGAATTTCTTAACTAGTTTCATGGTTCCTACTGAGTAGGTATTGAATAGGGCAAAACTGACTTACCTTTTCTAGTTCTCTCCTGCAGTGGGATTCTAATGGTGCAGACCATTGAGGTTCAGAGCCCACCTGCCACTTGCCAACTGTATGGCTAAGTTGTCTAACATCTTGGTGCTTTATCTGTAAAATTGGACGGAGGTGCCCATTCCACCAGGGCGTTATGAAGACTGCCTGACCTGATTGGTGTAAATACGGTAGAGCAGCACCTGCACAGAAACCTTCTAAAGTGCTTCTCATGTGGTCGGCTGGATATTTTATTTCCATAAGGGAAGCATAGTTTAAAGTACTGACATACAGATCTTATCCTGAGGCAGGTATCAGTGTAGCATTGTATCTCGTGTAGAGATGAGGTACATGCTTGCTGATTCCAACCTTCCTCTTTGCCTGGCTTCTTGTAGGATGGTCTGGACTTGCTCTTTGTTGCCACTTTAGCTTTTGTGCCAGCTGTCCACTCCTACTCTTGATTAGGCATTCCTCTCTGAAGGGTTGAGGTGGCTGTCTGTCTTTTCTCAACTCTCAGTATCTTGTTTCTTAATTCTTTAAATCCTTGGCTTTTGTGATGCTGCCTACTACCAGGCTGCTTCTTTCTTCCCTGATCTCCCCACCTGTTCCATCTCCTTTCTTTCGTTCTTTGACCCTTAACTCTTCTAGTCACGGGACTTCTATTTTCAGCATTTGGGGTGCCCACTGGAGATAGAAACCTCCAGTTATTTTTTCTTTTAAAAAGATTTTATTCAAATATAGCTAACATACAATATTATATTAGTTTCAGGTGTACACCATAGTTATTCAACATTTGTATACCTAAAGAAAAGATCACCATAAGTCTAGTAATCATCTGATACTGTACAATGTTATTATAATATTATTGACTATATATATATATATATATATATATATATATATATATGC